GAGGTGGCAATGGTTAGAATGGTTAGTAAAATTTTAGGCATGTATCTGTTACTTCATTTCCCAACAAAATGGCTGGTTTCCTGCTTTTTTGAACCTGGGGTAAAATATTACTGCAATTTCAAGTACCCATTAAAAGAAAATCACTTATTTATCAATGAGGATCTGCAAATATCTCTGCTTTGCCCCATGCAGACTTTTTTTCTTCCTAAAAGGATCCGAACTAAAGGAACTAAAGCCTTGGAAACTAGAGTTATTGGTACGTGACTTTGAATGCCATCATATTTCAATGAGTGGCATCTGTTGTCTCATAGTTTTGTGGATTGACTCCTACTTGTTTATGTTCATGCATAAAACATACAAATGTAGGCATAATCAGCATTTTAGAAATAGAGTGATGAAGGTTCTATACATCTATTAAGAACTGATGAGACTGGTATAAGACAAAGTGGCTAACAAATGAAATAATAACATAAGAAAACAAAACAAGAACACCCGCAGCCAGAACAAACAGCCATTTCTCTGGTCATTTAGACTAAAAGTTTTATCAATATGTGTGGGTTTGGTAGTCAACTGTAAAATCATATGTGGCTTTATGTTTTTGCTTGTTTTTTGAGACAAGGTCTTGCTCTGTCACCCAGGCTAGAGTGCAGTGGCTCATCACAGCTCAATGCAACCTCAAACTCCTGGGTCAAGTGATCCTCCCTTCTCAGTTTCCCAAAGTGCTAGGACCACACGGTGAGCTGCTTAGATGGTATGTTTTTAATAATTACAAATATTGGCTTGGCACCTGGAGCACAGTGGTTACAGCGCTGGCCACATACATCCAGGCTGGCAGGTTTGAACCCAGCCTGGGCCAGCTAAACAATAGCAACAAAAAAATAGGCAGGCATCGTGGCAGGTGCCTGTAGTCCCAGTTACTTGGGAGGCTGAGACAAGAGAACTGCTTGAGCCCAAGAGTTTGAGGTTGCTGCAAGCTGTGATGCTGATACAGGACATGGGGCACCCCAGCCAGTTCAGTGGAGCTGGGAAGGATGGGAGGGCGGACTGGCTGCCTTTGCCTTGGTGGTGTTGGTGCAGTGGCAGTGAGCAGAGGAACCAGTGGGCTGGAGGGTTGGCAGGGGTGGCCCTGCAGGAGGCTCCAGTAGCTACAGGGACCAGACAATTGCTGGGGAGACACCAGCACCTTAGGTTTCCCTCCCCTTGCACTTATGGCTGAACAGGGAACCCCCATTTTCTAGGCCTGGTCTATTTCATGTTTCCTAGGCCTGGGAACAAAAGGCATTGTAGCCATTCATTCACTTCCCAGACATGCTACCCACCATCCCAAACATCCTAAATGTAACTACAGATGGCCCCATGTGACTGTATATGCCCCTAGACAAAGACCCTGGAATCAGTGAGACAGAGAGAGAGCACTTTGGTGTTTTTGTATTCTTTTCTGTAAATAAATGCTGTCTTACCACTTATCTGTGATGTGTGGATTCATTTTTCAAATCACGGAGACCAAGAACCTACTGAAGACTAAATTCTGCTATCAATGCCATGGCACTCCTCAGAGGGTGACACAGTGAGATTCTTTCCCAAAGAAAAAAAAATTGCAAAGATTTTGCTCTTACATTTGTTTACAGTATCTGAATTGTGAACAATTCATTCCACTGCAGGTGATTTGAGAATCTTAAATAATCTTTTACTTTATTAAAAGAATCACTTCAGGTATTAAGAACCCAGTCAACCTTATATATTTTTTTGAACAGATAATACTGGCTATGTAACAAATTACCCCTAATTTAGAATCTTAAAACAACAAACATCGGTCTAGTTTCTCAGGGTCAGGAATCTGGGAGTGGCTTAGTTGTAGTCAGGCTACAAGGAAGTTCAGTGATCTCAAAGCTTGCCCCGGGTTACAGAATTCCTTCCAAACTCAGTCTTGGCAGTTTCTTGCTGGCTGTTGGCTGACAACCTGTTCCTATGGGCTGTCTAGACTTTCCTGAGTGTTCTTGTGACAGCTGGCTTCCCCCATATTGTATGAAGCAAGAGAGGACAGACAACCAAGGGAGCACCTGACACTGAGAACACACTCTCTCACGACCTAATCTTGCAAGTGATATAGCATCACTCATGCTGCATGCAATCCTGGTCCAGTGTGGAAGAGGACTATACATACCACGGTGTTAATGTCAGGATAGAGGGATCACTGGAGGCTGGCTACCACAGTATCTATCATATCTCTGAGTTATTTACATTCCACTGGAAAAACTGGAAGAATGGCTGGGCTGGTCCAAAGGTAGCCAGTTATTTTGATTGTTCACACAGATTGAACTCCTTGTTCTACTCTTTTCCCATTTCTCACTCCTGCACTTGACTAGTCTTAAAAAATAAAAATAATAAAAGAATGACCTGACAGTTTTAATTTTAAATTTCAGAATTTAACATCGTGTGGGAAGTTTCAAACTTTGCAACTATAATTGCAAACTTTGCAATTTTTCTTCCCTTTTTTTTTACTTGCAGTTTTTGGCCAGGGCTGCGTTTGAACCTGCCACCTCCAGCCCTGGCAGCCAGGCCGGCGCCCTACTCCTTTAAGCCACAGGCGCCACCCTCTTTTTTTTTTTTTTTTTAATAGAATCTCACTCTGGGTGGAGTGCTGTGGTCACAGCTCACAGCAACTTCAAACTCTTGGGCTCAAGACAGGATCTTGCTCTTGCTCAGGCTGGTCTCACTCCTGAGCTCAGGCAATCCATCTATCTTGGCCTCCCAAAGTGCTAGGATTACAAAAGGAAACCATCACACCCAGCCTGAAATTTTAAAAAATGTGCCTAGGGGATACATTCTTTTATTTTTTTGCAGTTTTTGGCCAGGGCTGGGTTTGAACACGCCACCTCTGGCATATGCAACCAGCGCCCTACCCCTTTGAGCCACAGGTGCCACCCTAGGGGATACATATTTAAAAAAATTTTTTGGAGGTGAGAATAAGTTTACAGACCACTGACCTCTAGTAACTGTCTATCTTTTACCCAGTGAGTGGCTCTTAATCACGTTCCTTTGGCTCTTCATTTCCCCCACATGGTGCTCTTTTTATCTTACAGACAACTGAGAAATGAAAGATGAACTTCAAGTTAGAATCTTAATTTGAGTCCTAGTTTGTGAATTGAAAAGATTACTTAAAATCCAGACTGTCCCTGAAAATCTAGGACTTACGGTTACAATAAAATGGATCAGGTTTTTTTTTTTCCTTAGTGGCATTTACTAAACAGGTAAGTGAACAAGGCACTGTACAAGAGTATGGGAGACACTGAAAGAATACACGATCTACTGAAGTTATAAGCTGGAGAGTTTGGTCTCTGGATGCTCAGAGAATGACTTTTTCTTTTTGAGACAGTCTCACTTTGTCACCCTCCTTAGAGTGCAGTGGCATCATAGTTCACAGCAACCTCAAACTCTTGGACTCAAGGGATTATCTTGCCTCAGCCTTCTGAGTAGCTGGGACTACAGGTGCCAGCTACAATGCCTGCCTATTTTTAGAGATAGGGTCTTGCTCTTGCTCAGGCTAGTTTCCAACTCCAGATCTCAAGCAATCCTTCTGCCTCAGCTTTCCAGAGTGCTGGGATTATAGGTATGAGCCACGGAGCCTGGGCATGACTTTTTTTTTTTAGCATACAAAAAATCTATATGCAACTTCCTATTATTATGGGACAATTTCTGAAAAACTTGTATGCAATTTGTAGAGTGAAATTCTATATGTACTTTTTGATTGGTGCAAAGGCATTTTCTTCCTCAGGTGTACAGATGAAGTTCAGTTGATTTTGGTAAAAAATGTACAAAACCAGTAATTATGGATATAACTACTGAAAAGATGGTGATGTTTTGCTGGAGCATACCACAGTGAACACAATTTAAGTATTTTAAAATACTTTAAAAATATTTCAATACTTTTGAAACTTGACCAGGGCTAGTATTTTGTTCCCTACAACTCACCATCTCTATTTAGAGCTGTCCCACTCACTCTTCAACGCAAAATGTGTTATGTCCTACTCGTATGAAGTTTAGTTGAAGCACATAAGCGTCCATACAGTACGATAAACGCTCACTAAACTACACAAAACTAAAATTATGCAAAGGACTGCAAAGCACAAACTGACTTGGGAAACTTCAAATCTAAGCTACACGGACCAAGTATAAGATTAAATTGTTAAGTTAGTGGGGAGAGTCCAGATCCCGTACTCACAGAAAAGGCCCCCAAGACTCTTAAGTTTCTGGATAAGCTTGCAGACTCTCTCTCTACAGCGGGGGCAAGGGGTAAATGTGTCTTCAGGAAACAAATTTATTTTTCCCCAAAGCCTTTTCGTGACAATGGACAGAATGCGGCCTCTGGCACCTCTGGCAGTCAGACGGCGAGCTGGAGGGACGCGGGTTTCGGAGGTCCGGCCCGGGCGCGGGGCGTCGCGAGGCTACTCCGTGGCCGATTCACGCCCTCGCCCTCTCCACCCCGCCGAGGGCTGGCGGCACGGGGCCAGGCACGAGGCCTCGTCTCCCACCAGGAAGCCTGTCGCTAGGCCCCAGGCAGGTTTTCACAGCTCTTTTAGTAAAAAAGACAGCAAAGATCCTAACCTGACATAAGACCCAAATAAAGGAGACGCCAGATGTGCCTGAGGACCTGCCGGCGAGACCCCGCCTACCCTGTCCGCGGTCAACCGGGGACAGACGCAAGGCCGGGTGGGTCGAGTTAGGACGTCACCACCCGCCTCCCGGAAGGCGCCGGCCGAACCCCTAGGGAGCGACACAGGCGGGGCTCGCTGAAGACCCGCAAGATGGCGGCGGACCTGGAGCCGCAGCGCGCCGGCGCGGGGCGGGGCGAGCGAAGCCTCCCGACAGGCCGCGCGGCACCCGCTTCCGGCTGTGGGTGGTGAAGGGCGGGAGGGGCGCCCGGGCTGCCGGAAGCGGGCTGGCCGGCGTCTGTGAGCGCCACCTGCGCTTCCGGGGACCTAGCCAGTGGCTCCAACCTTCCCGGTAGGCGGCGCGGGAGGAGAGAGAAGTTTGAGGGGCCGTGCCGGGCGGATCCCCTCCTCTCCAAATGTGAGCGGTTTCTGAACCCCTGTCCGGCGAGGGCTGCCCAGAGAGGTGGAGCCGGTGGACAGGCCGGGAACATGAGGCAGTGTCTCCTCTTCCTGACCAGCTTGGTTCCTTTCGTGCTGGCACCGCGACCTCCGGACGACCCGGGCTCTGGCTCCCACCGGCGACTCGGTAAAGACCCCGGGGGAGCTCGCGTAGGCGGGTGTCTGAAGTGCGCTGGTTGGAGGGACAAGCCGGGGAGCTGGATCTATCAGGTGTTTGGGGGCGGGGTATTGGGCGACGGTGGCTTGTCCCTAAGTTTTCGTTGTAGAAAGGGGGTGTGGCTCTCCGACTTTAGGGAAAGATAAAGGATACGGACTTGTCGGTCTGTGTGGGAAAAGGGCGCTGGAGGGGCTTCCTGTAGTGACTGAGTGGGCGGGATCTACTCCCTGGATTTGTATTTGTGGATTGTGTTGGGGAAAGAGATAAGGGGGTTGGGGGGCGCTGGCTCGAGTTTGAAGAGGGAGATGTGGCCAAGGTCCTTGCCTTGCGGAGGAACAAATCTAGTATGCTGTGTGTTCCTACCAAAGGCAGGGCTCAGCGAGGAGGAAACCAAGGACCCAAAGTTCCAGAGTTCTTCCTGCCTCTCTAAGGAGGGAACTAGAATTTCAACTGTAGGACGTACTTATGCAATAATCTGGTTGGAAGGTGGCAGCTAGAGTTATTTCATATGCAAGGTTCACTGGAGTTAGAGTATTGGAGTTGTGTTTTGCGAACATCATAAGCACGTTCTTGGTTATTTAAGTTGTAGCCTATTGGAGGTGCTTGGGGGAAGGCTAAAACCTGCCAAGCCAACTCGTGATACTTTCTTATTTCAAACAAAGAAATTAGCAGGGATGACCAGTTTGATCACTTTTGAGCTTGGAGAGTGGAGGGTTTCTATTAAATTTTCCAGAGCGGTTGCATTTTAAGGATGGACATCCATTGAGATGTGCGGTTTGATGAAATCATTACTATGAACTTTTAGTGTATCTTAGAGTCCTTTATCTTTCAAAAGTTGACATGTCAGACTGATTAATTAGTAATAAAGTGTGAAACAGTCGGTTTTCCCAGTGAAGTTGTAACTTTGTCATTTTTCGTGATTATCTTGGTCCCAAAATTCCACTGTGATACCAAGCAGAGTATTGTGTAGATTGAGAGACGATCTGAGTTTTCTTTTTTTTTTTTTTTTGAGATGGAGCCTCAAGCTATCCCCCTGGGTAGAGTGCCATGGCATCACGCTCACAGCAACCTCCAACTCCTGGGCTCAAGCGAGTCTCCAGCCTCAGCCTCCCAAGTAGCTGGGACTACAGGCGCCCGCCACAACGCCTGGACATTTTTTTTTTTTTTTTTTTTTTTGGTTGCAGCCATCATTGTTGTTTGGCGGGCCTGGGCTGGGGATTCGAACCCGCCACCTTAGGTGTATGTGGCTGGCGCCTTAGCCGCTTAAGCCACAGGCGCCGAGCCCGATCTGAGTTTTCTTTATGGCCAATCAAAATTTTTACATTAGTTTGTTACCTGGTATTTTTTTCTTATTTAATGAACATAAATTGTAATTGACTGATAGGGATCTTCAAATTTTTGAATGTTCTTACCGGAACAACTGCCTTATAGTTGCCTGAACTGAAATGGATTACAAGTGACTATCTTGGCCCAGCAGGGTGGCTCAGGCCTGTAATCCTAGAGCACTCTGGGAGGCCGAGGTGGTGGATACCTTGAGTTTAGGAGTTCAAGACCAGCTTGAGCAAAATCAAGACCCCTCTCTCTACTTAAAGTAGAAAATTTGAGGCAAGAAGATCGCTTGAGCACTCTACTCAGGGTGACAGCTTGAGATTCTGTCTCAAAAACAAACAAACAAAAACAAGTGACTATTCTAATGAAAGTCAAGGGAGCCAGTTAGGAAGTACTGAGAAGTGATGTCAATACAAATTGAAGGAAAATTTCTAAGTATGGATGTGCTTAGGATGGAGCAATAAGGTGAGGATCTTCATTTTAAGGATAAATGTTAATAAAAAGAATCGAGTTTTGGGATGCTAAAATAATATTACACCACCCTAACACATTTGTTTGACTTAAGTTATTATCACTCTGTTGTTCACAGGTGGAAAAATAAACATGAATCTTAGGAATCATAGAGTATAGAGAAGAACATTACCTTCTGATAAATTCATAACAGCGTTTGCAGATATTTTTGACCATGTGTTTTTTTTTTTTTAATTTATGAAGTGCAGACCATCTCTGCTAGAAAAATGGGTAGACTTACCTATTTATTCATCAAGTATTTGGGGAACACGTACTGTTTGCCAAGTACATATTATGTGTATGCATAGCATTGCAAATATAAAGTTTAGACAATATCCATCTTTAAAGGCTTATGGTATGTTGGTATAGACAAACGGACGTCTAAACAGACACTTCTAATGCAACATGGAGGCGTGCTAGAGCACATTATGGAAGGTATTATCACAAAGGGGCCCTGGACCCAGCCTGGGGAGGTCAATGAAGGCTTTCCAGAGGAGATGATACTTGATCCCAGACTTTAAGGTTAGGGGTGTGAAGAGGGAAAGTAAGGACATTCCTGATGGTGGAACTTAGAGACTGGTAGGAGTTAGAGACTGACATGAAGAGGCAGGAAAAATGAGTCTCAGAAAGATGCAATTATTTGTCAGTTTTACACAGTTGGTGATGAACATACACCTTGTGGGTATTTTTTTCTTTTGAAGAATGACTTATTTATGTTTGTTTGACAGCTCAGGACGTAATTTATTACCTACCATTACTTAGATTGAGTTTGTCAGGACCCAAAAGATAGTTTCATAGTTAAAGAGCATGGTGTATTATTAATATTTATTGTTTATATATATATTGTCCCATAAATGTTACTATAATGGCGGTAGTAAATATTAATTAGGTATATGACAGCATTTTTCTGAAGGGCAGAAAATGCATATAGAAATGGAAGCCTGGCTTTTGGAGTACTCTGTGGGTCACCAAAAATGATTTCAGTCGAACTGTTATGCATTGCATAATTCTGGAAAGTTATGAGTCAGGAGTTTAGTCATGATGGTATCTTGTTGGAGTTGCAGCTAGAGTGTATAAGTCTTACTTTGATTTCAAAATTGTTTTCCCTTTGTGTTACTTTTAATAAGAGAGGATGTAGTGGGTGGAAGAAAAAATATATAGGTCACAGATAAAGGCTGAATGTTTGTATGTGAAACATATATGTCATGTATTGAAATTTGCCTTGAGGTTATTGTCAGAGGTTCTCCATGTTGCAGGGCTCATTTCATTATGGACAGCACAATTTTACTTAGTACATTTGGCTTGCTTTTTTTCCTTTTTTTAAATATTAGATCAAAGCTCAGACTGGCTTCTTTTTTTTTTTGGAGATTAGTCTCACTGTGTGGCCCTCAAGTGCTACAGCTCACAGCAACCTCAAACTCTTGGGCTTAAGTGATTCTTTTGCCTCAGCCTCCCAAGTAACTGGGACTACAGGCACCCACCACAACGCTTGGCTATTTTTTTGTTGTAGTTGTTGTTTAGCAGGCCCAGGCTGGGTTTGAACCTGAACGCGCCAGGTATGTGGCTGGTGCCCTAACCACTAAGCTATGGGCACTGAGCCCTGGCTTCCTTTTTTGATGTTAATTTTGCTTACAGGCTGCTTCCCTTTGAAAGCTAAACACTTACCCACCCTTGCTACTCCAAGGGAGATTTAATATAATTCTACTCTGTACTACTCAAATAAACCGTATTTCTATTTTTTTTTTTTATTTTCTATTTTTATTTATTTATTTTTTTGGAGACAGAGTCTCACTCTGTGACGCACAATACTAAGTGCTATGGTGTCATACTCACAGCAACCTCAAACTCTTGGGCTCAAGTGATCCTCTTGCCTCAGCTTCCAAGTAGCTGGGACTATAAGCACCCCTCCCAACACCTGGCTATTTTTAGAGATGGGGTCTCACTCTTGCTCAGGCTGGTCTAGAACTCCTGAGCTCGGGCAGTACACCCACTTTGGCCTCTCAGAGGGCTAGGATTACAGGTGTGAGCCACCACATCTGACATTAACTGTATTTTTAGACTAGCTTGGAAATAAGAGTTAAGTCGAAAGCCATAATGGGGAAACTGGAGAAATTTTTTTGGCTTTCATAGGATTTTTCCAGAATGTTAAGTATAGGTGTTTTCCAAGGCCGAGTGTGTTTGATTTTTGGATCAGTCACCATTTTGTATAATATTTGTGAGAGCTGAAAGTATTATTTGAAGAAAGTATGAAAAAGATAGGTGGGGCAAGAAGGTCAGGAATATGATGTCTGACAATTAAGTTCATGAACTCATCTTAGAAAAAGTGCTACATACCTCTTTTGTGAATGTCACTATGGTTACCTTTGGAGTGCTCCCCTTAGGAAGCCATGTACAGACTCCAGCACCTAATCACCTTTCAGAGCAATTTTGGAACTCTGTTTCCTGGAATGGCCTAAGAGTTCTTGTCATATTACCCTTGCTGTCCTGAATGCCATCAAAAGTGTCTTCCTTTTGGGTGGCGCCTGTGGCTCAAGGAGTAGGGCGCCGGCCTATACGCTGGAGCTGGTGGGTTTAAACCCAGCCCTGGCCAAAAACTGCAACCAAAAAAAAAAAAAAAGTGTCTTCTTTTCAGTATTTTCTTTATTTGGGGGTAAAGAAAAAAGTTATTGAGGGCCAGATCAGTTGAGTAAGGAGAGTGTTCCAATACAGTTATTTGTTTACTGGCTAAAAACTTCCTCATAGTACCATGTGAACTGGTGCATTGTTGTGATCCAAAAGCCCTGAGTTGTTGGCAAAAAGTTCAGGTCATTTTTGTCTAACTTTTTCACACAATCTTTTCAGAACTTACAAATAGTAGACTTGGTTAATTGTCCAGCTGGTACAAATTCATAATATTCCCAAGATTAGCAGCAGCATCTTGATTCTTGATTTGAAGTGATGGAACTTTTTTGGTCAGGGAGAATTGGCTGGCTTCTATTGTGCAATTTCATGCTTTATTTCAGAGTCATATTTGTAGACCCATGTTTCACCACCACTGATAACACAGCCCAAAACGTCATCTTGACTCTTCAAGAGGTCTTGGCAAACTTTGACTCTCCTTTGCTTTTGTTCATCAGTGAGTTCCTTCAGGA